AAAGTAGAAAATGAGACCATAGATTTAATCTGCAGCCCTCAAATAGTTAATTGTATAATCTCACATATAAATAATCATAAAAATTGTATACACTTGGTGCATCAAAATATATAAGGCATGTTGGGCAAAGAATGAGAAATTGAATTGTTTTAGATAGTAATAACATACATATTTTTTGTATAACTGCACATTGGTTAAAAGATTATAACTAAAATATGTTTAATTTCAGTGAACACCAGGTGGTCAGTTGCTTTAACAGAAAAAAATATACGCGGACCTTTTTATGTACTGCCAACGCTCAGTAAAACATTACAAGAACGTTAAGTAAATTTTTTTTCAAAAATTGAAACAAACAACATTACAACAATGCTCAGTTCTGAGCGTTGTTGTAATGTTAAGTTTGTTTCAATGTTAATAAATAACCCCACAAAATTAGTTTGTTTTTATAAGGGGTCGCTTGACAACTGACGCCGGTGTTCGGTTGATTAAATTATAATATTTTCTATGCATGGGAAAATTCAGAAGATGCTTAGGGTATATTTATGATCTTTCCAAGGCTTTCAACCATTATGGTGTAAAAACATAACACTCAAAATTATTATATACTATCTAAATAATAGATCACAAACGGTTGTTATTAATGGGAGCAGATCTTCCGGATCCGAAGTATCGATGGGTGTTCCTCAGAGCTTAATTCTAGGCCCCATCCTGTTCCTTAGTTTGTATTAATGACTAACCTTACTTGGCAGGGAATAACGATGATATAGTTTTGTTTGCTGATGATACTTCGTTGATCTTCCGACTTAAGAGGCAATTATTAAAATATAACGAAATGTATAATGCTGATAATGCTATATCAAAAGTAGTAGACTGGTTTAATGTCAATAATTTGCTTTTAAAAGATAATTAAACGAAATGTATTAAATTCATCACACCTAATGTTAAGCAGGTTAATTTTGTGTGCTTTTAAACGGGTAGGAGCTGAGCCTTGTTGAATCCAGTGATTTTCGCGGAAATACAGTTGACGCGAAGCTTCAATGGGGCCCTCATATATCTAAACTAGCTAAAAAACTTAGTTCTGCAGCATATGCTGTAAAAAATTTTAGCCTTACATATTATGTTGAAACAGCTAGATTAGTTTATTTTTGTTATTTCCATAGCATAATATCATAATATCGAAGGTAATGCGACAGACTTAGAAATTATCTTTGTTTTGCAAATAAGAGCCATAAATGCAATTACGTGGTAGAGCCATGCTGCAGCTATATTAGTAGTATAGTTGTAATACGAATGGGTCGGCTCGACCGGGGAAGGACCACGCTCTCACAGAATGCCAATTTAAAATGGCAGCTTTACATTGCTTTGTTTCGTATGGTGAGTGTAGAGAACCGGAGACCCATTTTACTGGAAAAGAGACATTGAATCTTAGTTCTCACGGGTGACGACGCATCTGCATTTTGATTCTTTATTGAGGATAAATGTAGATGTCTATGGGTCACAGCAGCCACTTACCATCTGGTGGACTGTGTGCTCGTTTGTCACTCTATCCTATAAAAAAAAAAACGGGTGACGACGCATTTGCGTTTTGATTCTTTATTGAGGATAAATGTAGATGTCTATGGATCACAGCAGCCACTGACCATCAGGTGGACTGTGTGCTCGTTTGTCACCCTATCTTATAAAAAAATTATAATCTAGGCCCTAAAGGAATCACTTAGATACAATATATTTACGATAATTGTATGTATGTATGTACACAAAAACAAAAATAGGTTTATTAAAAACATCGATGTCAATTCTGTCAATACTAGGACCAAGCACAAGTTAGATAAATCAGTTACTTGACTCCAACAACTCAGTAACTCCTTCATTGGGCAATGTATACACTTTTACAACAAAGTCCCAGAAAATATGCAGACCTTATCTATCAAAAGCTTTAAAATATTTATTAAGCAAAAATTGTTTAGTTAGGATTATTATACTACTAAGAAATACATGATTGATAATAACCCCTGGGAATGAGGTGATCATTAACCTGCTGTTTTTAAATGTTCTCATACTAATTGTATAAATATTATACTTTAAGTTATGCTCTTTTTCTTAAAAAGTCCCGCTGTGTTTCTCGCTGGTTTTTATCAGGACAGAGGTGTTTTTCAAACCAGTGGTAAAAGTTAAAAATAACTTTCAATAAAAATTTGGTAGATGTAATCAATATTGAATAAAAATGATTCTATAATTTTCCATTCTACTCTATTAAGGTTCCACTTTCGCATATAACTGCATTTCATAGGCATACAGATGGGATTGATAAAATTAGAAAACAGAAGAGAAGCGATAATACCATATTGAGGGACGCCATTTGACACATCACTTCATTCACAGAGATTAGGTCCGGTACGCACGACCTATTCTTTCATTTTAATATTATGGTTTTTGAAATAGCACTGTTAAGTGCTTAAAAGATTTCAAATCGGTGACAATATTATTTTTTTTATTTTACTCCATATTTGTTTTCATTTTCTTTTTATTTCTATTGTATAAAAAAATTAACGCACAAGTATAATATCATAACATTTTATTTACACAAGTTAGATAGGATATGTATTCACAAACTATGTAATAACTCTATAATAAATTCACAATACAAAAAGAACCTATTTTTAACATGTAGTGCTTAAAAATAAAATTATAATAATATTAGAGTTTAAGAAAACTTAAACTAATTGATCGTTAACCGTGATGATCTTAGTGGAAATACTAAGTTTTAAATGTGAAATTATTGTACTGACATCGGTTCCTGACAAGCCTGTTGCTGTGTTTCGTATGGTGAGTGTAGGGAAACGGAGAGGTTTTTACTGGACACAGGGCATTCCATCTTAGTCATCAGGGGTAACAACGCATCTGCATATTGATTCTTAATCGAGGATAGATGTAAGATGTCTTTGGGCCACAGACAGTATCTGCTTACCATCATTGACTGTGTATTCGTTTGTCATCCTTAAATTTAAAAAAAATGTCAGATTATTTAGACGTCTGGAATTGGGTGCCTATAAAAGTCCACCGTTGAACATAGGCCTCCCCCAAAGATATTCTTACACAGCCATAACGCGGTTTACATACATACATTCGTACATACGTAGATATATACAGGTTAAGCTAAAGCGTGAAAATGCGATTCGGTAGCAAAGTGGCTGTTTCTGGCTTCGGGTTCGATTTCCGCACAGAACAAGCATAAGATGAAACTTATGCGTGTATTGTTGGTTCACCATTCCGGTGAGACAGAGAGACATACAAAAAATTTAAAAATGGTTGTTTATTGATAATAACCCTCTGAGTTTAATAGAAGCCAGTTATTTCAATATTACAGGCAGATTTTCAATTTTATGTATTTGCAAAATTAAGTATCATAAGATGGAATGCCGAAAATGGGTCTCCGGTTCATGTCATTCACCATACGAAACACAGCAGCAATATGCTGCTATTTTTATGGTGCTTGTATATTGTTGCACGCCACTATTAATGTCTTGTACATGGCAACACTAGTTACCACTAGCGCCCTCTAGTATCGAGTAGCAGAACTAGGAGAGTCAAGATCCTTCTTAAAATGTCAATTTTGGTAACTCGATCGGCAGTCTTTAATTGTCTCGAACCCCAAGCTCGTAACAATATGTTCTTGAGAGAAAGATTTTCGTCCACTGTCTAACCGATCTATTCGAGCTTCAGTCATAACAAAACCTAAACATAGCCTGGGTTATGTGGTAAAGGCAAATATTATTTTGTAATATTTATAATTGGTTTCATACGAAAATTGAATTTACGGCCGACTGAACAGCATACTTCTAGATAGAGTTACCTCTACACTAGCACTTTCTCCTGTATCGTGGGGGCAGATCATATAAGTACAAACATCGAGACCCGAAACAATTATTTGTTGGCCATACAAATACTTGTGCCATGCGGTATTCGAACCCGCGCCCCTTAGCGTTACAATTCATTGCTAAGCCACAGCGCCACGGATCCGTCAAAAGCACAGTTGAGTTGCGTGCACTGCATGGTTTTAAAAATATCAATTATTAGAGAAACAATCCAACAAACCGTAGACAATATAAACCATATTATCCTTAAATATGTGTATGAGATATCTTAACACAACAACATAATTCTATTCTGATTATAAAAAAAATGCTAAATATTCAATAAAGTACTACGACTTACGCTCTAAATTAGTTATACAAAACTAGTGTAGTCTAACTACTTGTTATCGATATCGACTACTCCGACATACTCTTAGTGACATTTATAGATATTTTTAAAACTTCAGTCTCCGTTTACATATCTGTCAGATGAAATGTCCTATGCTTCCTCTTCGAAACACACTTGTTTATTTTCTTGAGTGAAAGTTATAAATAATCAAGTGTTTGAATACAATCATGTATTTTATTTCAGTTTTGTGGTTTACACATATCGAATTACGTCAAAATTAATTAAATGTTAAAGTTACTTTAATGTTTTTGCACAAATTATTAATGTTAATTAATTAGTTAAGTATTATTGGTGAATTTATTTGAATAATATATATTACATTTGCTTACGTGCCAAAATATCTTTTGAAGGATTTAAACTTCGACGAGATATCATTTACTTTCATGTTTTAAGTTATTGAATAATTATTTACAATTTCTACGTATTGTTATTTCAACTAGTATTAAAAATAACTATTTTATTTTTTCTGAAATATTGCGTAACATATTTTGATACATTTAGAAGGAAATAAAAATCCCCAAAAAGCAATAAAAACTAATAATTATTGTACGAGTATTATTAATTCGCAGAATTCCAGAGAATACGGCAATTACGATCATCATATTCGTTAACATGAAAAAACAGTCAAGCAAACACCAGATAATATAGTCTAGAGATTCGAGCTCCAGAAGTCTTGTTAAATTAGGGATGTCCATCGCATCTAAAAGTCGTTATCGATAAACAATTTAAGAGTACATTTAAACAAAAATAAAGTCAGGGCTTATACAACAATCTCCTTTCTTGTCCATGTTCTCGTTAGTTCGGATCCATTTGCCATGGCAGTGCGGCGCCACCAGGGCGTAGAACCGAGTGGTGTGTCCCACCACTCCATGTCCGCCACAGCGCCATTTCAGGTCGCGTCTGAGTGCCGCGGCTTCACACATAACGCAAACTGTGCCACCTAAAAGAAAAAAAATGGGTTATTAGGTTGATAAACCAAATTAATGAAATCATTGATTTATTTGTCGTTTTACCCCAACGTAAGTACAATAGTTATTAGAAAATTAAATACCCGGCATTTGAACCCCGGAACTCATGATCATCATCATATCCTCATAGTCATATACGTTGTTATCAAATAGGTCATAGTTTTATACATTTAGTTACATAATATATAATACTTATCATCATATTAAAAAACTAAATCTATGGTACAGTATTTTTTTATTTTGGTTTGTTGTTCTTTGCATTTCCCAAATATTATTTCCTTCATTTTTGTATCTATATTAACTATTAGTATAATATGTATGTATGTATATACTATGTATAGACATTTGTCATTCACTCATTTCTAGTGACTCGATCGTTCATGTATTTAATCGTCTTACGAACCGGGTCATTCGGGTCCACCAATTAAATGGATCATTTCTAGTTTCAGTACTCTGTGTTCTGTGAGACCCTCTCGATAATTTCGGTCGTCGGACATTACTATACTCTTTGGTCGTAGGTCCTGTCAATCGTTTGATCCGGAACATTAAAAAAATGTTTTTGCAAAATTGCAATCCATTTGCATTCATCAATACTTTAATGCGACTCGGGTCAAATGAACGAATCATTCATGATTGACACATCGTATGTATGTATGATAATAATTTATAAATACACAGTCCTGCACCCCACAGTACAGTGTCACGAACGCTGGCTGCGTTTCCTCGATGAATTGATATACTTAGCCTTTGTGCGAGACAAGAACCAGCCCTCTTATCATCAATGGAATTTTTTGTAATTTGATTATTGATTATATTTTTCCCATGACATTCATAATCATTAACAGATGCTAACGTCAATCGAGAACATTATTTATTATTTGGTACAAAAGAATTTGATCTCTATTTTATATAACATAGAATCACTTTGTAAAATTTATAGCCTAATAAAATTAATATCACTCCCTATTATATAAGACACGTGCAGTATCTCGCTATGTCGGAAACGATTAGATAAATCAATTTTATGGTCTAATAGCACGTGAATAGCTTTCAGTTTCCATCGATAAGTTTACGCACCTTCACGAAGCGCCTTGTACTCGGAATCGATATGACAGGCCTTCGCCACCTTGGCAACTTCGAATTGAACGCAGTATCTGAAATTAAATAATGTATCAATAAAATCGTGTATGGCTAGTGTAAAAATGGACGTGGTTATGCAAAAAGGATCCAACCCGAGTTTGTGTGCAAAATGTTGACTTGAAAAATAATGTTTGTGGTCTATACTATTATGTAATGTAACAATTTTAGCAAACGTAACACAAATAAGAAGAAAAATTACAAACAGATAGAAACCATTCCGATAATTTCAGTTTATGATATTTGAAGTATGGATACTTCAAATATCATAAACTCAAATTATTTTATCGCGGGTTGGATCCTTTTTGCATAACTACGTCCAAATATCCACTACCACTTATCGTCCCGTGGGTGTCGAGGAGGCGACAGAGGGAAACAGTAACAAGAGATAGGCAGCAGCATCTTTCTAATAACAACTCTATATATTAAATTCTCTCTTCTGTGGTTATTCGTCTACCAAGTCGTCGCTCGTCTTCGTGGCAACTATGGCTGAATTCTATCTATAAGGCAATTATGTGAGTGGCCTATGTTCAGCAGTGGACTTTTATAAGTTATTATGGTTATAGATGTCTGTCTTTTCGTCATAACCTTCCGAATAGCTGAACCGATTGTGTAGAAACTTTACGAAGAGAATCTGGGCAACGTTTTGACAGATAGACAAACAGACAAAAATTTTTAAAAATGTTTATTTATGTCTAATAGCATGCAAATAACTGAGCTTAAAATAAATCAGTTATTTTAGTATTACAGACAGACTGGTCAGTTTTATATATATGGTGTTATAGACAGTAAACGAAAACGTTATGGGGGTTTGTCAACAGTAGAGCACACCCGTTGCTTTCGCAATCGAGGTATGCAAACAAACAACGTTAGGCAGAGATTTTTCCCTAACGTTTTGGGCACAAAACGTTCGTGATAGAAAATCAACACTTACTCTCTGTGTGAATTGGATTCCGGATCATCGGGATTACGCAACCGCAGGTTCTTCCTGATGTCCACCGTCTCATTCGAGTGCCGACTGACAGATAGACCACCGGGTAGGATCATTGCGGATTCCTCTGTTAAATAAAATACTTTTATGCAGTAATGATACACTCTATATATGTCATAGGCCTCCGGCATCGGTAAAAGGAAAGTAAAGATACAGCCTATATACGTCATAGCCCTCCGGCATTGGTAAAAGGAAAGTTAAGATACAGCTTGTACATGTCATAGGCCTCTGGTCTATTCTTATTTCTAAGAGGGTTATGGAGTATATATTCGCGCTGCTCCAGTGCGTGTTGGGGAACTTCACACATCTTCGAGAATATTTTTTTTATTTCTTAGACCTTTTCCTTCACCACAGAGCACGTGGTAAATCGGCCCTTAATGGAATGCAAAAAACCTTTGGTAATGGTTGTAAAATATTGTCATGGTGGTAAATCAGGCCTTAAAATTTCAATTAACAATTCCATTAGTGCGAGCTGGGATCAAACTTGGGTTGCTCGTGTACTGCGAAATTTACAGCAATCTTTTAGCTTCTGAGCTACCACGGATATTCTATAGGTCTTCAATTATATATATAAAAATATATATAAACAAAAATTGCTATAGGTAGACAAAAAAAATTGAGTTGAAAGATAGACGTCATATGCTGTTGCCAGTAAAGTTATCCGGAACTGAGACGTCTTTCACTAATCGCCGTATGAGGATATAAAATACGTCACGATTATTTTTGCAGTAAAACCAGAGTAATCGACAAAGTTAAACGGATAAATTAGCTGGAATATTAATGGGTCGGCCATTTACTAACAAAGATTATCGAGTGGCAGCTTCGTGCTAAAAAGTGAAGTATATGGCGGCAAATTCAAATTTAATTTTTATTCTATAACTTAATATTTTGTAAAGAGCCAAAAAATGAAGTTTATATTTCATTTGTTTATAAATCAAAGACCTGCGAAGTCCGCCGAAACATATTGGGGCAGCGCGGCGGACCTAAGGATACCATATATCAGGATTTGTCTTGACATATCAGGACCTTTGAGCTCTTTTGCCAGGGTTGCGGTCGGATTTTAGAAATGTCAGACTTGGATGGAATCTGCGACATGGATTTATCGCGTGAGTATACAAAAGCAATAATTTATTGATTTATTTTTTCACAGTAGTTAATTACGTTTGCAACAAAATGTCAGGACTTTTCTATGGAAATCAGGTTATTTGTCAGGACTTCTTAATTATCCGTCTGGTAACCCCAGCCGGACTGGCAGTCATTTTATTGCCCTAAAACCCCCTCAAAAATCAGACGAGGCCAAGACGTATATAGTCTGTAACTTTATGTATAATTTTATGTTTTGTGTAAACATTAAAAAAATAAAATTAAAATTTGAAAGGGCAAACAATCATGGTAAATTTTTTACAACGCGCAGAAGTCAACTTGAGACTCGCGCCACAGAATAAATAATAGCATGCCCGCGCGGAATGCGTCTGTCCTCCCGTCTCCCCTCCCACCTGACCACTCACGTCCTTGTCGCCTCTATACGGACTCTCAATGCACTCTGACGTCCGAGCCAAGGTCTCAAGTTAATATCTGCGCTTGTATACTAAGCGCAGATATTAACTTGAGACCTTGGCCTTGACCTTAATTATTTGTGTGTGTTTAAATGTTCAACAAAACCATAAGAATTAAGCTAGAGTTTCAACAAGTGACAACAAGTGCATGTATAAATTTTAAAATTACTTTACGGCTTAAATTAAAAAGAAATATCTCCCGGAACCAACACAATTATGCTGATTTATCATATGCTCAAGACATGCTCGGCGGTGAAGGAAAACATCGCGAGGAAACCTACATATCTGAGAAATTAAAAAATATTTCGAAGATATGTGAGGACACGCATTGGTTAGCACTGTGGACAACAATTCCTTGACCTAAAAAAAACTCTTAAAACTGAAAGTAACTTACTACTACTTTTAGAGAGGAATCTTACCACGTAATGGGATGTCGCTGTCTGGCGAGCATCCATGGTGCGCTTGGCACGCACGTCGTTGAACCAGGGACGGACAGTGGCGGCCCCCGTGGGCTGGCGCTTGGACTATCCTACGACTACGCTCCATGCTGCCTGATCCGCAACTTGTATCGCACTCCGACCAGGGACCCCAGTCCGACACAACGCAGTCTGTCACTGAAAATTGAAATCACGTGTAAAACCGATTTTTTTATTTGAATAAAGTCTTGAAATTATTGTGCCGTGGAGGCAGTTTACAAACATAAATTGCACGAGGACAAACATACAGACCCGGAACAATTATTTATTTGCCATACAAATACTTATTCCGTGCGGGATTCGAACCCGCGGCCCCCAGCGCAACAACTCATTGCGCGGCCACTGCGCCACGGAGCCGTTATGCATATTAGCCGTGAGTATACACAGAAAAAAAACTACTACATGGTATTTACGTAAGTATTCACTACCCTATAAGTTTTCGTATGTGTTTTGCAACTGTAGGAAATGTCAGAAAGACCTCATGACCACCTAAACTGTTTGCGCTAGAGGTTATCGTCATGTTTAGGCTGAACATGTGGATAGCTTCTAGCGTAGTCATGTCAAACATGCGGACCGAAATCGAAAATCGAGATTGACAGCCCTGCTCTAACAGTGCATCGGACACAGGGGTGACAACGCATTTGCATTTTAATCGAGGGTAGGTGTAGCCCACACACCCACTTATCATCAACACAAATTATAAAGAAGGCGAGACGTTTTTTTAAAAGCAATATTTTCTACAAGAGTTCAGTTTAGTACGGTTCAGTTAGTAGTAACAAAGATTCGGCTTTTGTAACAATATACGCTTTGGTCCATAATAACGGTTGGTTTTAGTTTTTATTTGGTTGTAAATGAAAAACAATACACCTTTATTTTCTTACGCAGAAACACTTATTTTGTATTTTTTTAACTTTTATTGAAAATATTTTTATTTTTTTAATATTCGATTGTTTATTTAGGAATTCAGGTATATTATATACCTGAATTCCTTTTCTTATTCATCATCATTATCAGCTCGCAAACTTGCACCGCGTGTTTATCTTGTAGTCGCGTTGTATGAATAGAGGCGCTGCGGGCCCCGGTTTCGAATCCCACACGGTACACGGTAACAAGTATTTGTATGGCCTAGAAATATTTTTTCCGGGTCTGGATGTTTGTCTTTGAGAAGTTTATGTATGTCAACTGCCTCTATGATACAGCATAATTTTTATAACCACAATAAATTTAAATTTTCTCTTTTATAATTTGTGCTGTTTTTTTAAATTGCAAAGGACTTTCTTCCTACTATACAGTACAAACGTACATAACAAAATCGTATATAGGAAAAATAGTTAAGTTTAGTTTCATTGAAAATGTTTATTTGTTTCAAAACAGTTACATGAATTATAAATGAGACATCCCCAGTAAGTAATTGATAATACTTGTGTTTTAGAATAGAATAGAATATTTTTTATTCAATATACATTACATGTGTAATTCTTATTGAAAGTCATTTTTTAAAATGTTGGGGCTATCTCGCTCTTTCCCTTAATTATTAACAATATTGAGACTATTTTACAAAAGGTAAGTAATAATTAATTTATGAAGAAAAAATAAGTAAGTAAGTGACTTATAAAGTAATTATTAGCTCTTTGTGTAACTGTAGTTGTACGCCTGTGTGGAACTGTAAGTCCATCTTGTTTTTAAACAGGGTTTGTGTTGTTGAATGTGCGTGTGTGTGCATGTGTGCGCGTGTGCGTGGTCACGCGCGCGTGTATGTGTGCGTGTGAGTGCGCGCGCGCGCGCGCGTTTGTGTGTGTGTGTGTGTGTGTGTGTGTGTGTGTGTGAGTGTGTGTATGCGTGTTTATGTGTGTGAATGTGTGTCTTCTTTGAAGTGCCGGTGTGTTCGAAGCGCAATTAATAGATTAAGCTCATTCATTGATTCATTCATAACATCAACTCAAAAGTCTATCAAAAGTTCACCGTTGTACATAAGTCTCCCTCAATGAACTGGCAATTCTCTGTTTGCCATAATTGCCAAGCATGCGGATTGGCAACCGAAGTTTTACATTATTTCGAATAAATAAATATGTAATACTTGTAAATGTTACTAAATAAAGATATAAATTTACCTCCACAAGTCTCTCTGAAATCGGGACAGCAGTCCCCAAGCTTCATGCACGCGTGGTCACAGTAACAGGGCTTATCGCTTATATCATCTATAATTGCATTTTGATGAGCCTTCTGGACTACGCAAGAGCTGTCCCGCCCTGGACAACATAGGTTGGCGTCCCTACAGTAGTTAGCTCCGCAATGTCCCGCAAAATAAACAGCGCATGCGAAACATATCCAGTATCGGAGCATTTTAGTTTATTTTGAGTATTATGGGGACGATATAATCTTGATGTTTTAAAATTGTCTTTATATTTGCGTACGTTAGTGAAAAGTCAGGGACATTTCAATTCGGCCGTGTTATCTGTAACAAGGAAAATTAATTTGTATTAATTATAGATAATCTAGGAAAACTTATAATAAAACTTATGTTAAGGTATTACAATTTAATGTATTTTTTAAAGCTTTTCTCTTTTTGTTTCTTCTTTTTCTTTAATAAACGTTACCCCACACTATATAGGATTTTCTTGTGTATCGTTGAAGCAGTTTACAAACATAAATCGCACAAGGACAAATATCCAGGCCCGAACATTTGTAGTAAAAACTAGTTCCGTGCGGGATTCAAATCTACTGCCCTTACCTTACCTTAGCATCGCAAATAAATGCTAAGCCACTGCACGATGGAGTCCTCAAATAAAAACTATTGGTTTTTTTTTTAATATAAATAAAATAAAAATGTAATCTACGTGGATAAATTAAAGGCCACATAATATAAGTTTTTTTTTCTATATTTTTACAACTGTACAAAGTGGCACACTTGCCTATTGAGTTATAGGTCCTTGGTATGAATCCTAAGCAAAATTAATACTAACAGAAAAATATTGATTTCTTTTGCTTGATTTTTGAGAAATATACGAGTACAACTGCTAGACTAAAATTACGTTTTGTTTCAATCAAACCAAAAGTTACAAAGTAGCCGTGGTTAATTGTGGTTGGGTCGATGAACTTCTCAGTCCTGCGGTGACCAATAGCAGTTGTTCCGTGGCAAAGTACCCAAAACGTCGGGAACATAAAAATATGTTAATTAAACGCGGTAAAATCCGTAAAAAAAAAAAACTAGTTCATTCAATATGTTATTAGTTTGGAATGGGTCAAATTGTAACTATACGTGTAATGAACGTCCAATACCAAAAGATAAGTGCGAAAGATTGGTTTTATTTTAATTTTAGTTTGTTATAGAAATGTTTAATGTAAAGTTGCAGGAACGATAGCTCATTATTCATACTTTCAACAAGCTTTGTATTATTTTGTTAGCTGAAATAAAACAAAATTTAATATTTTATATAAAATGTAACAACATGTATAGAATTTATATTAAAAATGAAAAAAATATAAATTATCTTATTGCCTCCTGTGAGGTTTGAACTCACGACCCCTGGTTTACGAGACCAGTGCTCTACCACTGAGCTAAAGAGGCTGTTAATAGAGTGTTGAAATTACAGCATACATCTTGCTTTTCTGCAACTTTCAATATGATTTGAAAGTTAAAATAGTTGGTAAAGATTTTTCTTAAATCATATTTTATAAATTTCAACCCTAAAGTACGCGCTTATAATGTTATGAAATTTCATACTTCTTCAAAGCTTTAATTTCTAACAACCTATACACATATAAAAATTTGCTAATAATTAATATAATTTTTATTGCAGCAGTTAAAAAATAAAAAGAAATAAAAAGTTTTGAAAAAAAAAATAGTAACGAAAGTAACACAAATTTCATTAAAATGATGAATCGTACTTGGACGCCATAGCGTCATCATAATTTTACTCCATTAGACGATTTTTATATAGTGGATTTAGAGGCTTATCTTAAATAGAATGGAGAAACATGCAAGCACAGAATCTTTTGTACTTAAGCTTTACAAATACTTGTCCCATGCGGGATAAGATGGCCCCGTCGACTCGACAATATTTCTATACGATACTTGTTAGAAGTTCAATAATACTTCAAACTCGATGGAAAGGTGATATAATATCCAAAACAGCATTTTATTTAGAAAACTAGCTGATACCCGCGACTTCGTCCGCGTTGCTTGATATATTAACTAATTTTTCGATGTACATATTAAATAAATAATATATAAACACGACTCCCCACTTCGCCGCGGCAAGAAAACACTACACTAGTGATGTACTAAACACGTAGTGCTTATAGAAATCGTTGTTTTTTAAAACTTTAATAACTTTTAGATAAAGTGAAGATATCGCAACATTTTTTTTTAGATAAGAGCCGACTGTCTAAGTAATAAAACTTAGAGAACCTAATTGAAATCTATACAGTAGTATTCCATGATTTTTTTTATAGGATCGGGTGACAAACGAGCACACAGTACACCTGATGGTAAGTGGTTGTTGTGACCCATAGACATCTACATCTATCCTCGTTTGCGAATCAAAATGCAGAAGCGTTCTCACCCGTGAGGACTAAGATGGAATGCCTCTTTTCCAGTAAAAAGGGTCTCCGGTTAGAGAACCAGTGTAGAGACACTCACCATACGAAACACAGCAGTGTTAACACGTTGGTCGACATGTCGGACAATGGTGACCGCCAGTAAATGTTTCATTCAGGCCGCGTCGGACATTGGTGACCGACAGGACACACCTTACTTTGACTTACGTTTACAGGCCGGCGGTCACTATTATTAGGCAGGAGTATTAAAAATATTGTGTAACCCAATTTTTTTTTTGAATATTTGGAATGCTAGAGACGAAGAATAAAAATATGTGCAAATAAAAACATCACTTATCTAATCATTTTTTGTTTATTTCAATATGAGATCAATATTCAATGTTTTTTTTAATGGGTAGTTAACTTTAGACACAAAAAATAATTATAAATAGGCAAAAGACCTAACGGTGTTGAACATTGAAGCAATCTAGGCACAAGTGTGACTTTCCGGGGCAAATCGGACAGAAGGTTACAAACTTTGTTTTGTTTTGTTGCTTGCTTTTTGCCTGCCAATATACAGTTTGTACGTTTTTCTTGTAACATCCAAGACAATTTCTTCGTGATTGTGTAGCCTTTCCTTCCTTTCTTGAGAGCTGATGCCTCAGTCGCAACGGCCTTGGCGCTTAGGTCAGTTGAGACTGGTTTTCATTGTTTGAAGACATGAGACGGTCAACTAGCGCTCTTCTAAACTGCACGATGGAAATGTAGTTTTTAGTTGTTTGCTTGTATAACACCAAAGCGTTCACAACAGCTTTATTGAGAAGTAATTCGAATCCTAATTTTCAATACCATTTTACTGTCTTCCTAACTTTTTTGGCAGTAGAGTCCAAGGGGGAGGCATTGGCCGTTAGTTTGGACATTGCGAAGGCCTTCGATCGGGTTTGGCACAAAGCGCTTCTTTCGAAGCTCCCTTCCTATGGGCTTCCCGAGAAATTATGCAATTGGATCACCAGCTTTCTTGCAGATCGGAGCATCAAAGTCGTTGTAGACGGTGCATGCTCCGACTACAAGCCTATTAACGCTGGTGTTCCACAAGGCTGCGTGCTATCACCAACGCTGTTTCTTCTGCATATCAATGATATGTTGCAAGCCGGTAGCATTCATTGCTATGCGGATGACAGCACTGGTGATGCTCTCTACACCTGCCGTGCCAATATTTCTCGGGAAAACGTCACTGAGTACCGGAACAAACTTGTGTCTGAAGTCGAGTCTTTGCTGGACAAAGTCTCGGATTGGGGGCGACTAAATCTAGTCCAGTTTAATCCTCAGAAGACACAAGTTTGCGCGTTTACCGCTAAAAAGAACCCCTTTGTCGTATCTCCTCAGTTTCAAGGTACTCCCCTAGTTGCCTCAGCCAGTATCGGAATCCTTGGCGTCGACATATCGAGTAGCGTGCAGTTTCGTGGTCACTTGGAAGAAAAGGCCAAATTGGCTTCTAAAAAGCTTGGCGTGCTCAGCAGAGCGGGACAGTATTTCATGCCGGCTCAACGCCTGCAACTTTACAAGGCGCAGGTTCGGCCTCACATGGAATACTGTTCCCATCTCTGGGCTGGGGCTCCCCAGTGCCAGCTTCTTCCACTTGACCGCATCCAGCGCAGAGCGGCTCGAATCGTCGACGACCGAGTCCTTTCCGATCGGCTCGACTCATTGGCACTGCGAAGAGATGTTGCATCTCTTAGCATTTTCTTTCGCATTTACCATGGGGAGTGCTCTGAGGAATTGTTCGGATTAATCCCAGCCGCCAAATTTCACGAACGCACATCGCGGCAGAACTCCCGATACCATCCACACCATCTGGATGATTGGCGGTCCACCACTGTGCGATTTAGAAGATGTTTTCTTCCTTGTGGAATAGTTTACCACCAGCGATTTTTCCGGACCGATACGACTTAGGGACCTTCAAGAAAAGAGCCTACTCCTTTTTAAAAGGCCGGCAACGCATCTGCAATTCCCCTGGTGTTGCGGTTGTTCATGGGCGGTGGTAGTCACTTACCATCAGGTGAGCCGCATGCTCGTTTGCCCCCTCTCCTATAAAAAAAAAAAAAAAAAAAAGCAGCGTCAAGTATGAAGACACCTGGTCCGACTAATTCACTGCCGATTTCGCTTCATTATAGTTGAGAATTATCCTTGGTTTTCTTTTTTGTACACCCCTTTTATTTGTACAGAGCGACCCGCGTGGCGCAATTGAAATAATTTTTCCGTTCAGGCCACGTCGGGCTAATGTGTCCGTCAGTAATATATAAGCATTATATACAAGCTAACACTATGTAATAACACCGTAGGCTTATAATTATACCTTAACTCAATGTAATATAGAAAAAAGTGGGTGACATTGTTTTTTAATTTTTCTAAATTCTCTTTGGCAACTAACGTGTGAAGTTGCTATTTTACGCTGGTATTCTGTGAAAGCCTGGTCCTTCCCCGGTAGAGCCGACCCATTCACGCTATAACTATACTACTAATATAGCTCTACCACGTTCGAAATTGATTCAAATTCAAAATTGATTGATTGATGATTGATTCGCGCACAACTGTAAACATATTTTATATTTATTTCGATGTAGCTTGCGTTAATCTATCACGAAACCATGAAACATACCACCACTAATTAGAAATTTGGCTTTAATAGGCGCGTTTAATTATAACTACAAAAAATACTTACTATATATTTAAAGCTCAACTTTTTTTTTATATAGGATCGGGTGACAAACGAGCACACAGTCCACCTGATGGTAAGTGGTTAC